TTCATGATTATGATAAAGTGGATGTTAGTAAGTAAAAACTTGGAAAATCCTTGAAATTGTTGACATTGGATGAGAAATGTAAATGTTATAGGATGTGTTTGAGGTGCTTACTTGCCCGGTTGTGTGAAGACAACGAATGTGGAGTTGTCTTTGAGGTGCCCATTGCCCGGTCCGCGTGAGGGCGGTGAATGTGGAGATGTGTGAGGCATCCACTAGCCGGTTCGTGTGAGGACGACAAAAGTGGGAAGGTGTGAGGCGTCCACATGCCATCTGTGTGAGGATGGAGAAAGTGTGGAAGTTGATGATGATCAATATTTGTAAAAAAAAGTTAGGAATACAAATGAATCCTTGGCTTTTAGAATTGATTTATGCACATTTACATCAAATGTTTATATACTTTGTTAAAGTTATTCTATACTGGACAAAGTGCTCATCCCTATTTACTAACTTTTCAGGAAATGAAGAAACCCAAAATCGCCAATGAAGAAGGAGAAGAAAAATACCTTTTTTTTAATTATCACTACAAGAAAACAGTCCAAATAACACGAAGGGTTTTGCAACGGCATAGATGTCGTCGCCAAAAATGTCTTTTGCGACGGCGTTTTTAAACTGTCGTAAAAAATGGTCTTTTGTGATAGCGTTTTCAAACCGTCGCAAAAAATGGTCTTTTGCGACAGCGGTGACCCCGTCACTAATGAATATACAAGAAAAATACATAAACATTTGCGACACCTGGTGTACTGTTGCAAAAAAAAAAAAAAAAATTAAGACGAAAAAAAAAACCCTTTGGCGACTAAAACTTTGGTCGCCGTAAATACTTCAAGTTTTGACGACCAAAGTTTTAGTAGCAGAAAATAAGATTTTTGACGACTAAAATATTATTTTTGGCGACTAAAAATATCAGTCGCCATTTATAGGACTTTTGGCGACTAAATATTTTTTAGTCGCCAATACCTTCCCTAACAACCTTCCCGCGACCAATCCAGCAACCAAAATATTTAGTTGGGCAAAATTTTCTATGATTAAAATCGTACTTTTGGCGACTAAAAATTTAGTCGCCAAAAGTGAAATTTCTTGTAGTGATAAAGCGCCCAAGTCATGTGGGCGGTCAAAAATGGGGTGTCTACAGTTGTCCCTCTTTGAATAGGTGTTTCAGTATGTGTATCTGTTATGTTTGTGTAGGTCACACGTCGTGAGCTGTTGATCCATTGGTTGCTATCAAGCTATCTGTGCAACTATCTGTGAGTAATAACTCAGTAAAACTATGTTTAATATAAAATATTTTCTGAACATTATGCTATGATGTGAACTAAGAAGATGAAGTTGTGCAATTCTCCAATGTGCCCTGTCAGGATCGAATGAGATTGGGTCGCCAACCCCTACCCACGAGCCTGTGAGCACTGAAAAGTCATACAGGGTCAGAGTTAGCTCCCTAATCGATAAGAAATGGAAGTAATTGGTGGTATCCCACCACCTCTCCACCAAAGCCCCGTATAGCAGTGGTTCAACCCTCATCTGTATGAACCCTGGGTAGAAAGGCCAGAAGCCGGCATAATCAACGATAGTGTGGACCTCTGAGGGGAGCCTCTCGTACCAATGTCGGGGGCCAGAAACGGTCCCATAGCCACCCATCCTCCTAGCCATCACCTGGGGCAAAAGGATATGTTAACTTTTGTATTAAGAAGCTAACGAGAGACTTTTGACTAAACATTTTCGAAAATTATAATCTAGCAACTCTGATAACTAAATTTCTCAATAATAATTCTTAGGCTAGTTGTTCACAATGGATTGACTAAGACTACAACTTGATACAACAATTACCCGGTGCTAATAACTATAATCACATAAATATAAATTACAAGCCGTTTGTTCGAATAAGAATATGATTTACATGGACTCTGAATTGTAAAGAGTAATTTCCAATGATCCAAGCTAGGGAACTTGATTGGATAAAGGTGTTGAAAATACTCCCCCATTGACCATAACTGATTGAAATGGCACTCTCTTAATTTCCACAAATGTAGAGTAATCCTTATTCATTGGTTGTTTCCATGGCTCCCCATCCATTTGCAAATAAGTTTTTTCCCACTCTCCACCTCTAAGCTCAAATCATATCGCTGAAGCCTACAAGATGTTGATAGACTTCATTAAAATTTGACTATCATAGTTGTGGAGTAGTAATAACAAAGTTTTGTTAACAATGATGTTCACAACTACATGGGAATATCCTCGTTACTCTTTGGGGGCAATTATAAAGGGCCACTAGTTCAGTAGTTAAATTGTGGCATACTAACTTTCAGGATTGTGGGTGACACATTAAACTCTAGAAGGTGACGTGATCAGATGAAAGGAAATATCTAATTTCAATAGAGAAACAAACTACTCTATGCCCAAATGAGGACAAATGTGAAACATGACAGGCTTTTTAAGTATAACCAAAAGTCTTGGTACATGCTTTGCAACCTCTATAAGAATATGGTGTCAACTTGATGAGGGGGTAAATATTTTTTAATTAATTACCCATTTTATTTCAACATTCCACAGACAGAAAAAGTTAGGCATCAAGCACTTGAATTTAGTAGAAATTGCTAGTTAGAGCATCTCCAACATGAGAGATATTTAGAGCATTTTAGACATTTTGTCTAGCCTCAACACAAAAATGGAGTCTCTACCTCATCCTCCTATGCTGGCTACATGTGGACAACCTTGGAGGCTAGACAACATAATCTCAGGAGTAAAAAAGTGTTGTTGAAATACAAACTAGGCAAAATACAAAATTCACTTTTATATATTTTTGCTACACAAAATGTGCCTATTAGGTGTTAGAGGTGCTCTTAGAGTTACTACAAAGTCTATAAATACCCAAAGTATAGAAATTTCAGTTTCTTAATATTATTTCCCTTAATTTTCAATGTTGTATATATTCCTCCTGAGAAGCATATGTTTTTTCCAAAAATCGAGATACGAATACACTATTGATACAACAAAGAAATATGTTTTTTTAACATATTTTCATTTTCTATGTATATGAATATAACATCCACAAACCACCAAAAATAATGAAATTTTTTTGTTATATTGGAATTTGGACTATATAGTATGTCTGCTAGTTTATTCATAGTTTATAAATACAGCCAGTTCAATATTAAGGATCCAGAAGAAGAAAATGAAGAATAAGTTTTCAGAGATTGCTTCCTTACTCTTATCTTTTTCTATTAGAACTTAATATATTTTCTGCCATGTTTAGTATATATGCAACCTCCTTGAATGAAAGAAAATTTCAACATGCAGTACCTGGGCAATGTGTTTAGCAGAAATAAGGTCAGACAAAACAAAGGAAGCATGCCGTCCTTGTTTTAGGCCAAAAATTTCTAGAAGACTATCATTCACATGAACCCCAACAAAGCCTCTCTGTAAAACAAAGAAACAATTTCAATAACACCACTTTTAGCTTGAGATTTGACATAGTTTCTTTCTAAGAGTACATCAAGCAGGCAGTATAAGTTCCTATAGGGGGGCAAGATGTATGCAACTTTACCCCAATTTTTGGAGAGGCTATTTTCGTGACTTGAACCCGCACCACATGGGACACTAACAACAAACCTTATTTTTTGACCAAATGCAAAACTTTTACCATCGAGTTTTCTATTGTATAACATTATGTTTACATTTTATATGGAGTATTATATTTTTAAAATATCTTCACTTCTTTTTAGTATAATTAGGCTAATTTTGTGTATACTTTTTAAGAAATATTTGTTTAAATTAATTTTACTATGTAAATTGTTTGTTTCGGTAGAATTTTACAATCCTCGATCCAATTCTACAATACAATTTTGTAAACTTCTCCAACGATCCAATGTAGGACTCCGATTTTAACAACCTTGTAATTACCAAGAGGGCAAGACAAATCAAATTGCTTGTTCACCTAACCACGACATCCGTACGGATACTTATGGCACATTGGCGTTATTGTGCAAATAATGATGTTAGCACGCCATTGTTACCTTGCGATGGTTTTCGGAGTCCAATAACGGTTAATAGGGCATGATTAAATTCGCTATGATACCAAGTTGAAGTCCAAACTACGAGGAATTAGGGTTAGGGTTAAAATAGAAAGAAAAGAAGAAAGAAGAGAATACAATGAATAGGATTTGGGAACATATCAAAACCCTTCCACTTAGCACATATTTATATTAAAACACTAATATGACAACAGAAATCTCAATAAAACAACATAAAAACACTCGACTATTGTCACCGATAACTAGCGTTATTTGATGGTCCAAATAAAGCTATTGCCATTGGGCTTAGATGGAGTCTTCTTGTCTACATATTTGCTCTTCTTGATGGTTATGTAGTTCAGGTGTTGAAGGCATACTAACACGAATATAAGGTAGTTCTCATGTATATGTTTCTTTTATTTTTCCTCTTGAAACATCAACTCAACTCAACAGAAGTCTCAGTTGTTTGAATAAAACACCATGGTTTAATTTTGATGACAACTGTAACTGTGAATTTTTTTGGTTCTTCATTATGCTAGGTTTTTTACCTTCGATTTGTGAAGCCTCATGAATTTCTTCAATATGGATTGGGTTGCCTAGAGATGTTGGCTGATATTGGGGACTCATGTGCCAAAGAGACTCGTGAAAAGCTAAGGGTTGTGGTATGCATATGGCCAAATGAGTTGTTCAGTTTCTATCTTATGTAATAACTTAATAATAATTAAGCTGTATTATTTTAATTGTATTTCCTCTATGTAAATGGTAATAGTCAATGTGAAGACATATATGCTAACTTTTTGCATGAACTTTTGTCCCGAATTTTTGCATGAGAAATCGTGGATTACTAGGTTGGTTTGGCAGGTTACAGGAGGTGATGGCATGGTTGGTTGGGTCTTGGGGAGTCTGGGAGAGCTTCATAAACAAGGGCGGGAACCAGTTCCGCCAACAGCAATTATTCCACTTGGTACAGGAAATGACTTGTCCAGGAGTTTTGGTTGGGTAAGCTTTTGTTTGCAGCCACTTCTCAGGTTTTCTTCTTCTGTCCTGTCTTGTTGAGTGGTGCCTTATTTTCTTGCCAGGGTGGCTCATTTCCGTTTAACTGGAAATCAGCAGTCAAACGAACTCTCGACAGGGCTAGTACAAGTTCAATATGCTGTTTAGATAGGTGGGCATTCTTTGCTTTGATTCTAATTACTTAAATTCTTGTTTGAGATTGTTCTGTTTTCTGGTTCTCATTCGTAGATATTTCTATATTGATGATGCTGGTAATGTCAGTTCCAAGGAAATCAAATATTGCTTCAAAGGTTAATTCTCCAAAGCCATTGGTTTTCTACCATGTTCATGTGCAGATAATGAATATCTAATTGATTATTATTTTTATTTTATTTTAATATTTGATAAGTAAGATCACTAATTTTAGGCGTCTCTGGCTGCCCATTGTTTGCTTTGGTTGATTTGGTTGGAGCACAATAGGCGTGTCTTCCAAGACGTGTGCCATTCAGAGAATTGGCTTTTGTTGGTATTGCATAGTTGGGTTACGGGTTCGGTTGATCCCGATGTTTTGGTTTTTGTAGATTTTGTAGAGGATTTGCTTAGTTAGTCTTGGTGGCCCTTTTGCGAGTGTTTTGTATTAGTTGCATCGCCTTGATGCTTTTCTAATGAAGTTTGCTTATTTATCAAAAAAAAGAAAAAAGAAAAAAGATCACTAATTTTAGGGTTGCCCCCATGCCACCTCGGATGTCCCAGACTTCCACTGGCTTTTTGGCTTTTATGAAAAGACGTATAGAAAAGTAGAGAAAGTGATGTGATTGGGTCCAAAAAGCCAACACCCCAAACAGTGCCTAATGTTTTGTTAGTTTGTAGAGTTTGTATTCATTGTATTGACCCATTTAATTTAATATGTAAGTTGTCAATCTAGTTATTAAGTTCATATACTGATGGACTCCTCTAAGTTGATGCTCAACTAGTTAACCAAAATCATTATTAAATGGATTATGGACTTCTGTAGAAAGGAAAAATAAAAAAAGAGACTTCTGTAGCTTGTATTAGATGACAAAAGGGGATTAACCAATTGGTACACCACATTTTGGGTAGAGCTTGAATGACAGAAGGAACCAACCAATACCATTCTATCAAGATTAAATACAGTGATAATCACACATAGAGGTGGAAAATGAAGACAACCTTACATGGTTATTTGCTGCTCACACATCGGTGGATAACCTTGTGTTAATCAAAATTAACAAAAACCCTATAAAACCAAGTTTGCTAAAAAGAATACCTACTTGGTAACTTGGTAAGATGCTAAGGATTCTACTAATTATTAATAAATTGAATTTCCTTAGAATTGGTCAAAAATTGAAACCTGAGACTTAAAAAAGAAAAAGCAAAGGAATATGATATGTGATTTTTTTCCCCCTATTAATTGGTCAAAATCGAGGAAAGAATACACCTTATTGAAAATTTCAAATCAAACTGGTATTTAAAGTATACGTAGCTTGGTAAACGAAATTTTAGGAATGTAATTTTTTATAGTAATTTTCTATTTATATATAGAAAACTAACTTAATTAATATTCTGTAAAGTGATGGATATTATAGTCCTTCCAAATGTCATTTATTGAAATGTAAATCAATCGATTTCGTAATGAACTAGTTACTTTTTGAATAAACTAACTATTAACTAGTTATTTAGTTTATCTACTAACAAATTGCAATAAATAAAAAATAATATCCAATAATCTCTATTTTTCTTTGCCTATTGTTTTTTAAAAAAAATTCAATCTTTTCAGCAAGAAGAATGCTTAGGTTATCTCTGTGATATGAGGGTACCTTGATTGAAGGTTGTACTTCAGTAAAGTGTGGTGCAGATATCAAATTTGAACCAAGGGTATTGCGTAGACAAAGTGACATCTCTCTCTTTCTCTGTCATGATCTTCTCCTACCCTCTCGTGCAATTTCAAGTTGCCTGAGATGACCAAGAAGTGGCTGAAATGACCCGAATTTGTGAATTTTTTTCCCTAGGATACCTCTTATTGTTTTACCTTTTGATGTTGGATTCTACATAGCTGCTCATAAAGGTCTATACATTCAGGTTCAAGGTTTTTGGGATAGAAGTGATGTTTTATACAATTTTGATGGTCAACAAATATATTTAGCTTATGCTTTCTAGAACACAATCATTCTCATGTTAAGTATTGTTTTTGGCTCCATGAAAGAAACATCTTGATATATATGTATGAGTTTTTATCTGCATACTTGCATGTCTATTACTTTTGTAGACCTTGGACTCTATATACTTTACATTCTCATCTGTTTCTAGTCATCACATCTTCATATACTTGGCAGTTCTATGAAGTATAACTTCTTTTTTTTGCAACTGGAATGTTTTCATATCAATGCCTGTTGGAAAAGTTGTGAATCCACCCCATGCTCTGAAACCTGTGGAAGACATTACCCTTGATCAGGTAGTGATTTTAGCTATTTTCAACACGTCTTGTTTCTCAGTCGTCTGCTTTTGCAAGACAACCTTTCTATTTTTTATTTTTTAACTATCCTTGTGCTGAATGAAGTTCTCTCTTAGTACATCTTAGTTTAGTTGGACTGCAGCTCATCTTTTCATGTTGCTGTGACGGCCATGAATGCCTATTATGTGTGCATTATTCTTTTGTTCCTACTTCTGCTTTACATTAGTTACACCGATATGTTAATATCATCCTAGGCTAGCAAATTACTTTTCTATGATTTGTCTTCCTAAAAATAATCTTTAATGCTTTTGATGAGATTTTCAGAGAATATTGTCTTAAGAAAGTAAATCATCAATACTAAGAAAGTAAATAGGCCAAACAGATGTGTCTCCTCTTTTAATACATATTTGAGAAGGTACAAAGCCCCCTTCATAGGAACAGTTAAGTAACATATAATGAAACTCAACCCTCAGACTGCACCCTGGGTATAACCTGATAACTGGTAAAGAGGCTTGTGGGTCTATGACTCTGAAGTCCATAATGGAGATGAATCGTTCCATTACTTGGATTAAGCAATAATGTAGCATTCATGTTTCGGTTTACAATGCCACTAAAATGAGATAGACATTCATAATGTCCTCCTTCACACTTGCTGGACAAACAACGATAGTGAAACCATCCTTCCTAGGATCTTGGGAATAGACTAACCGACTACCCTTATTTCCTGCCTTCTATACACAGAGTTTTAAAAGGCTTTCCTAAGGCTCGCCTTGCCTTAAGGCTAAGGTAAAACGCATCAACATTTTGATTTTTAGGCATTACTCTCCAAAGGCTTGTGCATCGTAGTTTGAGAAATGGGCCTTAGGTGCGCTTTGTATGCTTTTTTGCGCATAAGCATGTGAGGAGTATGCACATGCAGAGTTTGTCTTGAGCTTTTGTTAAGCTTTGTCTATTAGATTGTTTAAACATAAAAAAATAAAAAGAATCCCTTTTTGCAACTATATTCTATTGGAAAAATTAAGTAAATGATCAATCAAGAAAAAACATAGTTAAAGATCAAGTGAGAAGGTCAATCACTGAAGTTAAGAATATCAATTTCACTTTCAGTGAAGGAAAACTTCTTTCTATGCAGTAAAATGTTCAACGGATTAAAGCGAAAAGAATCTACACCTTTATATTTAATTTTGTTTTCATTTTTTTACTATTTAAAAATATTTAATTTATTCACTAAAGATTAAAATTTGAAATTTGAAATGCTTACGCCTCAACGTCCTAAGACTTACGCCTCGCCTCATGAGGGGTAAAACAACTCAAGGTACGCATTCACCTTTAAAAACTTTGTCTATACATAGTCCTTGTTTATAGCCTAAATTAGTTTGCATCACTTGGTAATTCTTCCTCCACAATTACAAAATGTTTGTAGATGCTAGATTCTTTAAGCTAGTTGTTAAGAATCACCGATACCTCTAAGAAGGTAACGTGTTGTGTCTGACACCGTGTGACACTCGTCGAACACTTTCCTATTTGATAGTTTGATATACATTGTTGGGCTTATTTCCTAACACTTAAGCTATTGGGATAATTGGTGACTTAACATGGTATCAGAACTCGGGTTGACAGAGGTCTTGAGTTAAAGTCTCTCTGTTGGCATTTGGTATTCTGCCCTTGTTTGGTTTTTTCTTCTTTATTTGGTTGTTTGCTTTTCTTTTTGTTTGGTTTCTCTATTTGTCTCTCCAAATATATAACATATAATAATTATTTATCCTTGCATATGCCATATAATAAATATATAAAATTATATATTTTGCACGTGTCCCTTGCGTGTCACGTCCTACATTTTTTGAAAATTTACATGTTGGCGTGTTCGTATCATATCACGTGTCAGTGTCCGTGATTCTTACGCTACCAGCAGTGTAGCTTTAACAATTAAAACTTTGCCACATTGTCAAGTCTTTTTGAACAACAAATAAATCTGGAAGATATATGGAGATATATGCGCATTAACTTGCTTATTTATCCTGATAATAATGGCAATAATTGTTATCATTACACTTAATAATTATAGAAAATAATGCATGGAAATCAAATGGCAAAATAAGGTTCAGTCATCGTACTTTTTGTTGAATTGACTTCTTAGTATAGTTATAATCCATTTGAAAGGAAAGATGTTGTGCACTCTAAAAGTGTGCTTTTTGA